GCAGTTTAGACTTGATTGGGTCCGCGGAGGTCAGGAAGAAGGCGTGAGGACTAGAACTTTGCAGCTCTAGCTCTGGCAGTTGGGCAAGACATTGATCTTGCCTCGTGGTCGGCAGAGAGGCCCTTGGCTGAGCAGTTGGCGCACTTGGCCGTGCGCGGGTTGGCGAGAGTTGGACAGCTTCGGCCTTGGTGGTCACCAGAAGCGCAGTTCTTGTTGTTGGTGTTGCTTATTCCTCAAGTCGTTTAAATGATCTCCATTAGGTTCCATTGTCTCAGCTTCTCTCTTATAGTCCTGAGGTTTTCCCAGAGGTCTTTTTTGGAGGATTTGATACAATTCAATAGATGTACTGTGTTGTTGTTGTTGTTTCTTATCCCCTTGTGTAAAGATTACACGAATTCCATGAAGAATGGGGTATAGGGGTGCAGCTTTCGTTGATCATGGCACCATGATCCAGGCACACTTTGGTGAAAGTCTGACTTTGCCTGTAGTTTGAGGCCGTTCCTAACATGGAAGCAGACGCCTTTGCTGCCGACTCTAACATGAGTACAGACACAGCTCCTCCGTATCCCTGGAGTGGGACCCTTGCTGAGGTCTATCAACCGGGTCAGTTGAAGTCAGGATTTTTAAAGAGGTCTACTCCTCTTCTAACAATGCTGCTGTTGGTCCGCGACTGCTTATTTGTCAGAGTTATTCTGCTTGTTTCGCAGCTGCCCTTCATATCTGAAGGTCGTTTCCCTATCCGCCACCTGGGGACGCGCCCTATAGCAGTCAGCTCTGCCAAGGGAGATGTACTGTACAATCTGTTGTTGTTGTTGTTGATTATTCCTCAAGTCTTTTAAACGATCTCCATTAGGTTCCATTGTCTCAGCTTTTCTCTTATAGTCCTGGGGTTTTCCCAGAGGTCTCTTTTGGAGGATTTGATACATTTCAATAGATGTACTGTACAATCTGTTGTTGTTGTTGTTGTTGATTATTCCTCGAGTCTTTTAAATGATCTCCATTAGGTTCCATTGTCTCAGCTTTTCTCTTATAGTCCTGGGGTTTTCCCAGAGGTCTCTTTTGGAGGATTTGATACATTTCAATAGATGTACTGTACAATCTGTTGTTGTTGTTGTTGTTGATTATTCCTCGAGTCTTTTAAACGATCTCCATTAGGTTCCATTGTCTCAGCTTTTCTCTTATAGTCCTGGGGTTTTCCCAGAGGTCTCTTTTGGAGGATTTGATACAATTCAATAGATGTACTGTACAATCTGTTGTTGTTGTTGTTGTTGATTATTCCTCGAGTCTTTTAAACGATCTCCATTAGGTTCCATTGTCTCAGCTTTTCTATTATAGTCCTGGGGTTTTCCCAGAGGTCCTTTTTGGAGGATTTGATACAGTTCAATAGATGTTCAGGACTGGCTGGTTGGGAATCGCATTTGGGGTATTTCGGGAATGTTCTGATTTTTCCATTAAATTTGAGCATTCTAAGATGTCCTGTTCGTAAATTTGAAATCTCCGTTTGTTCTTCCCTAGTAAGGTTGTGGAGATTTGTTAGGAATGGGGGTGTACCAGGGGTGGTTATGGGTGGGTTTCCAGAGAGAGGTTTGTTTGTGGATGGAAGAAATTTCAGAATAGGTGAGTTGGGAGTTTTCAGGCTGGCCCTTACAGCCTTCTTTAGCCAACTGGTCAGCCATCCCGTTGCTGTCTATGTTGACGTGAGAGGGGATCCATTGGAACGTGATGACCAGTTCTTAGAACAGCTATAGCGAACTTTACGTCCAAATATATATTAGAACCTTCCACTAATATTATAAAACATACAACAAACAACACAAATACCATTTCTAAGATTCCACACTTCAGTGTAACATATATAAACAGAATGATCCAATACAGTATTAGACCTCTAAGAGAGCATTGCTCGATGTAAATATTTATATATAATTCTACTGTCCTATAAGCTTATGCCCATAGTTTACTTAAATACCATTTCTAAGATTCCACCCTTCAGTGTAGCATATATAAACAGAATGATCCAATACAGTATTAGAGCTCTAAGAGAGCATTGCTCGATGTAAATATTTATATGTAATTCTACTGTCCTATAAGCTTATGTCCATAGTTTACTTAAATACCATTTCTAAGATTCCACCCTTCAGTGTAGCATATATAAACAGAATGATCCAATACAGTATTAGAGCTCTAAGAGAGCATTGCTCGATGTAAATATTTATATGTAATTCTACTGTTTTAAAAGCTTATGTCCATAGTTTACTTAAAATACCATTTCTAAGATTCCATCCTTCAGTGTAACATATATAAACAGAATGATCCAATACAGTATTAGAGCTCTAAGAGAGCATTGCTCGATGTAAATATTTATATGTAATTCTACTGTTTTAAAAGCTTATGTCCATAGTTTACTTAAAATACCATTTCTAAGATTCCACCCTTCAGTGTAACATATATAAACAGAATGATCCAATACAGTATTAGAGCTCTAAGAGAACATTGCTCGATGTAAATATTTATATGTAATTCTACTGTCCTATAAGCTTATGTCCATAGTTTACTTAAATACCATTTCTAAGATTCCATCCTTCAGTGTAACATATATAAACAGAATGATCCAATACAGTATTAGAGCTCTAAGAGAGCATTGCTCGATGTAAATATTTATATATAATTCTACTGTCCTATAAGCTTATGTCCATAGTTTACTTAAATACCATTTCTAAGATTCCATCCTTCAGTGTAACATATATAAACAGAATGATCCAATACAGTATTAGAACTCTAAAGAAGCAGTCTGGTAGATTAAATTGGCGAAACTGCTGGGAGGGTTCACCACTGATGAACCAAGCCCTCCCATTTCGTTTCTCATCCTTGGACACTTTATTTTTCCATTTATCATTACTCTTCACAATTCATCCTTTCATACTTCATCCATAAGGATAGAAATAGTCGTTATTTCTTCTTAAAATAAATTACGATTTTTCGTTCAAAAGAAACATTTGCTGGTAAAATTGTCAAACTTCGTTCTACAATCATAAGCCGCATTATATTATATTGTAAATAAATGATTTGTAAATGAAGATACTTCTCCTTGGAGTTTGAGTCAAAAGGCGATCCATCAATTAAGTTTGTATAAAAGAGCGTACCTGGATCTGTAAAGAAAAAAAAAATTTTTTTTCTCAAAATATTTCGAGAGATTGCTCCCTCTTTATCAATTTATTACAATCTATTTACAAGATCAACAAGAATTTGTAAATTAAGTTTACTAAAGAGACAAGGGTCGCCTCTCCCGTCAAAATGGACGTCAAAACCAGACGCCACACGGTGACGGTCAATAGATGGCGTCTAGTTTTGACGTCTATTTTGACGGGAGAGGCGACCTTTGTCTCTTTAGTTCAATGTCCTCCTGGCAAATTTTCCATCTATATTTTAGCCATAGATTTGGCCCAGCCACTTTGCCAGCTAAACACCTCTTTGACAGATTGTCAAGATTCCATTAGATCCCGTGTGGATCTCATGGAATAAAGTCCGCCCTAGGCTGACGAGGGCCATTAGCCTGAAACCATGGTCTCTAGGTGGACGCTTTGCAGTTTACCAAAGCTGGTGTTGTGGCTTTGTCACTGACCTGAGGCCGTTAGTTTGCGGTGACGGTCAATAGATGGCGTCTGGTTTTGACGGGAGAGGCGACCTTTGTCTCTTTAGATCAATGTCCTCCCGGCAAAATTTCCACCTATTAAGTTTACTTTACAATAAATTGATAAAGAGTGAGCAATCTCTCGAAATATTTTGTGAAAAAAAAAATTGTTTGTTTTCTTTCTTTACAGATCCAGGTATGCCCTTTTATATAAGACTTGATAGCGTAGAAATCAGGTCTTGTATATCTGAAGATGTGAAAGTATTTATTGATGACGTCACGGCGACCAGTCGACAATTATTAACAAAACTAACCAAAACTATCTAGAGCTAGAGAATATTGAACAAGCAAGCAAAGAAATAGTTTTTAAGATGATTTTACAAATACAGAGTAATATATATTTTTATAATCTGTTGAATAATTAAATTAAATAATAAACTATTTCTTCGCCACAATATTGCCAAGTAGCTGCGGTCACAGGAAGCCTGTCAATCATCACTGGACTCCGGGGGGGGGGGACAGGTATGAGGGGATCTTATCGGCAAATAAGGAAAGGGTCCCCCCAAATCGAGGGTAATAAAATGGCAGATGAATTGGCAAAAGAAGCCAGAAAGCTGAGCTAAAGGAAAGAACAAATGTCAGTATTTGACGCTGATGCTTTTGCAAAATACAAGATAATCAAACAAAAAATAAGAAAAGATCAAATATGTGAAATAAACTCTGAGAGAAAACTGACAAAAACTATGACAAGACTTAGAACAAAACACTATAAAGGAATGACAATACATTCAGATGGCACAAGAACCTATAGGACATGTAACAACTGTCCTGGTGTGGAACTAACACCTACTCACATATTCTCATGTCCAGCAATGGCCGCAGCCTTGCAGAAAATTGACAGAGCAGCAGCTTTACACACCCAAGATAGTGGATATTGCTGCTGCTGTGATGGAGATGTATGGAGACATCTGAGACTCTTCTTTGGACACAACAGCAACTACAGGAAAACGGGACGGTGGGATAAGTTGTTTTATCATCTCTCTCTCTCTCTCTATAAATACCTCTTGTATATAATTTTATTGGAGAACTAGAAGGTAAATACCCACCTTTATAATAAATTAATTATTCCCAAATTTGCCCTTGCTTTATTTATCTCCGCGACAATATTGTATCATAAATAAATGATTGGTAAAAAAAGAGAATTTTTTCCTTTGAGATCTAAAGCGACACTTGAAGTTACACCGCATGAGTTTCTTTTAAACGAAAAATCAATTTTTTATTTCAAGGTGAAATATCGACTATTTCTAACCTTTTTGGATGAGGTATGAAAGGATGAATTATGAAAAGTAATGATGAACGGAAAAATAAAAGTGTCCAGGGATGGGAATCGAACCCACAATGTTCCGCTTACCGGGCAGATGTCATGTCCACTAGATCTAATGTTTGTATTTTGACACTGTTGTCACTGTGTTTACAGTCCAAGTTGGTGAACGACCATGTCAAGTTACGTAACATCTCTCTAACAGCACATGTCCTCATCACCCTTACCGATATTAAAGATCTCACAGGGGTAGGTAGCTATACGCCACGACATATCCCAGAGGTGACAACGTGACATTTGTCCAGGAGATAAACGCACGCTCACGTACCGCTTCCCAAGCCGCCCAACGTTATCTAGAACGGATGCTTCGAGTTATCAATGATTTTGATGATCCATTTGAGTTGGCCATTGTCACATACGCCCTAACTCTGGTGAACAGCGTGGAAGGAGAGGAAGCCTTTAACCTTCTTGATAACCGTATGAAAGAAATCAGTAAGTACATTTGTCTATTCTTCCCTAAATATATAACTTATCCAACAGTCTCTCTTCTTCTTCTTCTTTCTTATCTCCACTCAATCATATTAAGATATCAAGCTTGTAAAGAACAATTACATTTAAAACTGTCTATAGCGCCCCCTCAAAATAGCGCCTTCCTCTCTATAGCGCCCGATTTTAAATACGTAGTACGATGCGATTTACATTAAAAGTGACCTGTCTACAGCGCCCCCTCAAAATAGCGCCTTCCTCTCTATAGCGCCCGATTTTGAATACGTAGTACGATGCGATTTACATTAAAAGTGACCTGTCTACAGCGCCCCCTCAAAATAACGCCTTCCTCTCTATAGCGCCCGATTTTAAATACGTAGTACGATGCTATTTACAATAAAAGTGACCTGTCTATAGCGCCCCCTCAAAATAGCGCCTTCCTCTCTATAGCACCCTATTTTGGTGAGTCCCAAGAGGGGGCGACAGGTTTAACTGTATTTTAATTATAATGCAGAGAGCTGTAACTTTGTTTTGTTGTTAAATGGAAGACAATAAAGTATGTTTCTCTCTCTCTCCTGGAGCCACGTACTAGTTTTACCAACTATCCGGAAAATAAGTGCCCAATGCTAGAATCGAACCTGGGTCATAGCGGTCGAGAACCAACGGTTTAGACCAGGGGTGGCGAACGTGCGGCCTTTTCTTGCCCAAGTTGTGGTGTTTTCATAAATTCAAAATTATAATTTTTGTTTCGCAGTTTTCAATTACTTTCATTATTTTATTGAAAATATCTAATACGAATGTCATATATTATATAATATAGTAAATGTAAGTATTTAAATTTCTAAAAGTAATTCAAATGTCGTGCTAAAAATGAAGTACATAACTATACCACTATATCGGCAGCGCCGATAGGCGGTCAACACTAGTACTAAAACTAAACGTAACGTCCAAGTAACGTCGAGGCAACGTAATTGCCGGTATGCGGCCTTCTCAAAAATGGTAAAATGAAAATTGGCCTTCTAATATAAAAAGGTTCGCCACCCCTGGTTTAGACCAACCTTCCATCGACCCCCTAATTTTATTTAAGAACAAACTACATATGTAAAGGAGAAACATTTGCTTCTTAATGTTTTCATTTGTTTTATAGATGGTACGTTATTGCTTTGTATATAGAAATAATATTCAATTTCTCTTTTACTATCAATACACTTATCCCCCGATTTACACGGTACTTGTTTTAAACTTTTTCGCTTTTACACGGTTTTCCAAATAATTTTTTTTTTGTTGTTGTTTTTATCGCACTATACTAAATGCTACTGTGATTGAACACATGCGCTGTGTACACATCTCACGAGGAATCCCGAGCTTATGTGCTGACTACATATTTTAATCTGTCAATGCATTTTATTTCTGTGTACACCTATCCCCTGATTTACACTTTTTCTCAGGAACGTATCTACCGTGTAAATCGGGGGATAGGTGTACACTTATATGCAAATTATCTGTTCTATTTACATACAAAAATCGTCCATATATCCCTAAATGGATACCTAACTTTGTGGTATGTGTAGGCGGGATGAAGTACTGGGGAAAGATAAACGTTCCACCTCCCAAAATCCAGCATGAAAGCAACCGTCCTCATATATTGGGACGTTTACCCAATCTGTACGATGCTTCCAACGTGGAGACCACCGCCTATGGTCTTCTGGTACATGTAGAACGCCAGGCTGTAGTACAACGGGAGCTGGTCGAATGGCTTAACTCCCAAAGACTTACAGATGGAGGCTGGGCGTCTACACAGGTTTGTTATCTCTCTTTTCAGCTAAATCATTTATTTCTATGAAAAATAGACACTTCGGCCAGTTAGAGTTTTTTATTTTTCTCAACGTTTCGACAAAATTCTTTTGTTTTCATCAGGAGAAGTAAACAAAACCCTATAAAGAAATGACAATACATCCAGATGGCACAAGAATCTATAGGACATGTAACAACTGTCCTGGTGTGGAACTAACAACTACCCACATATTCTCATGTCTAGCAATGGCCGCAGCCTTACAGAAAATTGACCCACAACAGCAGCTTTACACACCCAAGATAGAGAACATTGCTGTGATAGAGATGTACGGAGACATCTGAGGCTCTTCATTGGACACAACAACAACAGAAAATTGACCCAGAACAGCAGCTTTACACACCCAAGATAGAGAACATTGCTGTGATAGAGATGTACGGAGACATCTGAGGCTCTTCATTGGACACAACAACAACAGAAAATTGACCCACAACAGCAGCTTTACACACCCAAGATAGAGAACATTGCTGTGATAGAGATGTACGGAGACATCTGAGGCTCTTCATTGGACACGACAACAAAAGAAAATTGACCCAGAACAGCAGCTTTACACACCCAAGATAGAGAACATTGCTGTGATAGAGATGTATGGAGACATCTGAGGCTCTTCATTGGACACAACAACAACAGAAAATGGACCCAGAACAGCAGCTTTACACACCCAAGATAGAGAACATTGCTGTGATAGAGATGTATGGAGACATCTGAGGCTCTTCATTGGACACAACAACAACAGAAAATTGACCCAGAACAGCAGCTTTACACACCCAAGATAGAGAACATTGCTGTGATAGAGATGTACGGAGACATCTGAGGCTCTTCATTGGACACAACAACAACAGAAAATTGACCCACAACAGCAGCTTTACACACCCAAGATAGAGAACATTGCTGTGATAGAGATGTACGGAGACATCTGAGGCTCTTCATTGGACACAACAACAACAGAAAATTGACCCACAACAGCAGCTTTACACACCCAAGATAGAGAACATTGCTGTGATAGAGATGTACGGAGATATCTGAGTCTCTTCATTGGACACAACAACAACAGAAAATTGACCCACAACAGCAGCTTTACACACCCAAGATAGAGAACATTGCTGTGATAGAGATGTACGGAGATATCTGAGTCTCTTCATTGGACACAACAACAACAGAAAATTGACCCACAACAGCAGCTTTACACACCCAAGATAGAGAACATTGCTGTGATAGAGATGTACGGAGATATCTGAGGCTCTTCATTGGACACAACAATAACAGAAAATTGACCCAGAACAGCAGCTTTACACACCCAAGATAGAGAACATTGCTGTGATAGAGATGTACGGAGACATCTGAGGCTCTTCATTGGACACGACAACAACAGAAAATTGACCCACAACAGCAGCTTTACACACCCAAGATAGAGAACATTGCTGTGATAGAGATGTACGGAGACATCTGAGGCTCTTCATTGGACACAACAACAACAGAAAATTGACCCACAACAGCAGCTTTACACACCCAAGATAGAGAACATTGCTGTGATAGAGATGTACGGAGACATCTGAGGCTCTTCATTGGACACAACAACAACAGAAAATTGACCCACAACAGCAGCTTTACACACCCAAGATAGAGAACATTGCTGTGATAGAGATGTACGGAGACATCTGAGGCTCTTCATTGGACACAACAACAACAGAAAATTGACCCACAACAGCAGCTTTACACACCCAAGATAGAGAACATTGCTGTGATAGAGATGTACGGAGACATCTGAGGCTCTTCATTGGACACAACAACAACAGAAAATTGACCCACAACAGCAGCTTTACACACCCAAGATAGAGAACATTGCTGTGATAGAGATGTACGGAGACATCTGAGGCTCTTCATTGGACACAACAACAACAGAAAATTGACCCACAACAGCAGCTTTACACACCCAAGATAGAGAACATTGCTGTGATAGAGATGTACGGAGACATCTGAGGCTCTTCATTGGACACAACAACAACAGAAAATTGACCCACAACAGCAGCTTTACACACCCAAGATAGAGAACATTGCTGTGATAGAGATGTACGGAGACATCTGAGGCTCTTCATTGGACACAACAACAACAGAAAATTGACCCACAACAGCAGCTTTACACACCCAAGATAGAGAACATTGCTGTGATAGAGATGTACGGAGACATCTGAGGCTCTTCATTGGACACAACAACAACAGAAAATTGACCCACAACAGCAGCTTTACACACCCAAGATAGAGAACATTGCTGTGATAGAGATGTACGGAGACCTCTGAGGCTCTTCATTGGACACAACAACAACAGAAAATTGACCCACAACAGCAGCTTTACACACCCAAGATAGAGAACATTGCTGTGATAGAGATGTACGGAGACATCTGAGGCTCTTCATTGGACACAACAACAACAGAAAATTGACCCACAACAGCAGCTTTACACACCCAAGATAGAGAACATTGCTGTGATAGAGATGTACGGAGACATCTGAGGCTCTTCATTGGACACAACAACAACAGAAAATTGACCCAGAACAGCAGCTTTACACACCCAAGATAGAGAACATTGCTGTGATAGAGATGTACGGAGACATCTGAGGCTCTTCATTGGACACAACAACAACAGAAAATTGACCCAGAACAGCAGCTTTACACACCCAAGATAGAGAACATTGCTGTGATAGAGATGTACGGAGACATCTGAGGCTCTTCATTGGACACAACAACAACAGAAAATTGACCCAGAACAGCAGCTTTACACACCCAAGATAGAGAACATT